TCAGATCTAAGACTCTGAAACAACGAGACGGCTGAAAAACAGCGTGAGGTGCAAAAATGACAGGTTTAAGAGAACATAAGTGCAGAGAAGGGCATAAAAAAATTAAGTCCCGCGCCTCCACACAAGGAGAGCTTCAAAAGCCATGCAGATCCCACATCACTGATAATACTCCATTCAAGAGCCTGTGGAGGTCCTTAGAAACACTTAGAACCAGTGGCGTACGTTTGATTTTGATGTCCCGGTCCCCACCAATTTCTATGTATAAATATACTTTAAGTTTTGACCTAAATTATTGCTAGGGATATCAGTTTCACTGGATATAGGTGCAATTTGCTGTTTACATGATTATGTTGGGAAAAAAAGGCAAGTCAACAAATTAACATTAACAACCTCTCCGTGAATATATCATTGAGTTCTTTAGGGTTAGCATTGATAAATGGATCTGACCTGCACTTCACCGGTCACTACATGTGGGGTGACCCTCTGTCTCTGAAATCTGACTCACTCAGATGCCTTTATATCCCTAAACAGCTCCTGAAAAAACACAAATCAGACAGATCACATACACATGCAGTACTCATTCCAATCAAGATTGTGTGAGGACCTCACTGGAATAAAAATCAAACAAAGTAAATTCATTAAAGCAACATAGGGCATATTTGGAAAACTGGTGTTAACATTGCACAGGACATGATGTAAATGGATCGTTGGACAAAAGCACCACACAAACGATCCGATCCCAGTGATTGTAGATCTGAGATGTAAATGGGTCTGATGTGATCTCGGAGGAAACAGAACAGTTAACATGATACACCAAATTAAAAAAATAATAATTCCAAAAAATCTGTGTGAAAGTGGATAAAGTGAAACACAAAAACTCTTAAAGACTGGTAAAACACTGGCATGGACCATTTGATTCACATCAAATCTAAATCTGCATAATCTATTTGGGATGTTTATAAGAGCAGTAGACAAAAGGAGTTTAATATAAAAAGAACAAAACAAAGAATCACAATACAAGCATCACATTACTATGATCAAAGGAGGCGTAATAACACGCATTTCTCTTCTAAACTTTTTTTCCTTTGATAGGATTCCAAGTACTTGCAAAACAGTTACTAACTTGTTTTTAATCGATTTCAGTTCACACCATTTCCAGGACAGCATTGGCCACGATCCCTAGCAGAGTTTGATAAACCACACACAGATTTAAAACATCAAATTGAAATTAAATTTATGACAGTCAATAAAAGATGTGCTCATAAATGCTGGTTACAAAATGGCGGCTGTAGAAGCGCCCGCTGATGGAGGGATCCTGCAGTCACATGGTGAGAGCACGACGGTCCACTGAAAACAAAAGACAGTGTTGTGCAGTGCCCTTGTTCAGGGTTTGTGATGACTGGTTAAACACTCACTGATAATGTCACACACACACACACTTCACCTCAGCTCCAAGCCGGTTCAGAATGGGTCCAAGCCTTTGCCCAAGTGCCAAGCAGTGGTTTCATATCTTCTGAATAAATGATGCCTCTTCAACACTTTGAAATCAGCCTGGGTTATGATGAACTACAGTACCAGTGACACATCAGAGAGAGAGGACGGGGCGATCTGCTGATTCACAGTAAAGGAATGTGAAAGAGGGCTAAAAACAAGTTAAGTCTTACATTAACACTTTCATGCTTTTGTTTGTTTTACACTACGTTTGTAAAAATATTTGCAAAATTTTATTTTTGCCATTTTATCATGCAAAGATGCAAGAGTGACCAAAGAGGACAGCGCAGCACTTTAAACGAAAACAAAAAAGCACAGCATTTAAACAGCAAAGTTACACCAGATCAATACTCACCCATGATCCAATGCTTTCTTGCAAAGAGTCCAAAACCGGCAACTTCAGACAACAAACAATGAGCAGTCTAAGAATAATGCTTCAGTTCTTGGGTTTGCAGGTGCAGATAGATGGGATGATTTCAAATGGAAAGTATTTCCAGACACACACACACATACATTTTGGTTGCCATAAGAGTAAATGAATAAACAATGTCTTTACCTCCAACATTCCCTTGAAAAACAGAGAGTGATGTAGAGGACAGGATCTTGGAGAAATCTCAGGAGTTAAATCACTCAGGTAAGTAGAAAAGTAAGTAATCCACAGTCAAAGACCAGTTTTAGACCAAACAAGGTGTGTGACTGAGGTGTGCTTAAATACTGTGGAGATGCGTGAGTTAATCGGGTGCAGGTGAGCATGATGGCTGAGTGAGTGCAGGTGATGAGCAGGAGGAATTCTGGGAATTGTAGTTTTGAGTGATATGGCTGAACCATGGCTACGTTTGAAACTACATACTCACTGATTAGGTTCTTAATTTCAATAACGATCGCTAAAAGAGTAGGTATAGCCTGATGACGTTAAGTATGAATGTGATCTAGACATTCACCATGTTGACGTTATCATGTGACCTATGACGTTATTATAAGCACAACAACTTAAAAATATGAGCGACAGATTTATTTAATCTATCTGTAAATATCTTGACATTGATGAAATTTGTTCATTTTCTGGTCTTGAAGAATCAAATGTCACTTTATTTTGTGATTGTAGTATAACCAATACATTTAGAGTTGATTTAAGCTTATATATATATATATATATATATACCTAACCATAACTACATTTACCTTTTGAGGTTGTTGCAGATGTGTTAATTCACATTTTATCCAAAATAAATGTTCCTCAATTTATCAACAGTACTAATATTTAGGCTACGTACTTATATTTAGCTTTTTGATTTTCTTGCATACTTAAAATGGAAAGTATGCAATGTATTTCAATTTTCTCTGTGATTACGATTTTTGAAGACCAGAAACATTGTTGTCTTTATGTAGACTTCACAGCCATGGATGTATAAAAATGTGCTTTGAGAAAATAAATGTCACGATGCAAGATCTACTTGTTGCAGCTTTTACTTAAACCATCTCTAATACTTACAAACTGGATCAAAAGAAACATGAACAGAACAACCAAACATCTAACAACGCACAAACAGTATACACTTGACACACACATGACCGACCCTAAAGACAGAACAGAGAGGAACTTAAATACACAGATGACCAATGAGGACAGGGTGATAACACGGAGAGTGATGATGCTGAACTCCGGCCGGCGCCAAATGAACCTTTGGTCTAATTACACATCAGTACCTAGTCGACCGTTCTCTGAGATTTGTTTTCATGGTAAACCAATGTAAAGAGTTTTATCTCTAAAACTGGTTAGCGTATACGCTAGTATATGGGGGCATACAATAAGTAAAGAGAAATCCCTAATTTATACTAGTGATGGGCAGATCGAGGCTTCGTGAAGCAATGAAACAGTTGAAGCAAATGTGCTATATTGTTTCGAGGCTTCGAATCAGTCCGACACCCGTCTCCATGGCGACACCTAGAGGTCAATTGCAGGTGTTCATCTGAAACAACCGTTACAACGAGCCATTTAAAAATATGTTGTTTTTTATTATTGTATTTTTGGTCGTGAAAAATGAATATTAATAAAACAAATCAAGCCACAATATCTGACTTTCTTATAGATTTTTATTTAAAAATATTAATTTCTCTGCTGTTCTTTCTATTAATCTGCCTATATATATATATATATATATAGCCTATATATATATATATATATATATATATATATATATATATCGGGGGGGGGGGGTCTTTTAATCAAAAACACGCCCATCACGAACAGTTACAGTGGTGTAGATCGTAGAGCGCGTAGTTCTTGAAAAAGCAATTGATGCGCTCAGGTTCGAACCTGGCTTTTGCCGACATGTGATGTAAAAAGTATAAACTAACATGGTCTCTAGCGTTATATTTTGCCAATGAACTAAAATCGAAACCATTATATGGCTTTTTACCTTCATAAAACAGCACGAATCGGCATTCTGTGTGCACTTTGCTCACGCTATGGTTATGTGTGATCTTTCCCGACCGACCTATCAATCAAACCCTGACTCGGCAGAGCACTCCACCTGAAACACTTAGAAGCTTCATTTAGCTGTAGTCACGTGACGTGGGTGTTTTGAATCACGCTTCGGATCAGTGTTTCGAATCATCTGCTCTTCGGGATCTCGCAAAGCTTCCGAACGTCTGTTTCGCGCCAGCCATCCCTAATTTATACCACTATGTATGGGGTGGCAGTAGGTTGTCTACAAACCAGAAGGTTGGTGGTTCAATCCCTGGTTCCACCTAACCAAGTGTCGAGGTGTCCGTGAGCAAGACACCTAACCCCAGCTGCTCCTGACGAGCACTTCCCATCAATGCCATTCATCGCCTTCAAATGGTTCAAAACTGCTGCTCGAGCCCTTCCATCTGAGAAGAATACTGCACATATTACTCCTATCCTTTCCCAACTTCACTGGCTTCCTGTGGTCAATCGCATCCAGTTTAAACTGTTAATCTTAGTTTATAAAGCCTGTCATGACCCTGCACCTAAACATCTCGCGGGGTTAGTGCAAACATATGTTCCTGCTCGGACCCTCAGATCCAGCAATGATGATCTGCTAGTTCGATCTACTGTGGGTGGAAGAGCTTTCCGTGGTTATCTGATCTTCGTGCCAGCCCTAACCCACAGACCTTCAAATCTGAGCTTAAAACTCATATGAAGAGTTCAGATGCAAAAGCCTCTAAATGCCATTTGAAATTTTCTTCTAAAATGATCATTTTTATCAAGCTTGTATATTTAAGTTCAGTAATTTCACTTAAATGGCAATGAAAATTACCTATTAATTGTCATTTAAGTGAAATTACTGAACTTAAATATACAAGCTTGATAAAAAAAATGGTCATTTTAGAAGAAAATTTCAAATGGCATTTAGAGGCTTTTGCATCTGAACTCTTCATATATTCATCATGCTCAGAAAAACCTGTTTTTCATTCTGTCTCCCTGTCCTCTAACCCTTTCTCACTTCTTTATATTACATGCTTTATCAAAATGTATGTTTTTTTTTTTTGACTATCTAATCAATTCATGATTGTAGTCTTCATTTGCTTTACTGTTTAATTGTTATATCTAGCTGATTGGGTTAGGTTAGTCTTTTGTCTGTCAACTGTTTGTATTATTTTGTGAAGCGACCTTGGGTTTTTGAAAGGCGCTATATAAAATAAACATATTATTATTATTATATTATTATTATTATTCCCACAAAGGTCGGTTCAGTGCTAGCTAGCCTGTAATTTTATTGCTTAGCTAATGACATTGACAAAGTTCATTTTGTTTTCAATAAAATGACATCTTTGTAAAATGCAACTCTTCCACAAATATCAAAATCTCTCATCCTGACTATTGTTTGCAAAGAAAAACAATATATTTGCTATCTCATTGTAAAACGATTAGAAGTCTACATCCCTTGTTTCCTCTGCTGTTTGCTGATGCCAGAGTTTAGTTCAGAGAGGAAAGCCTGTTCGGTACGCTCCAGAGTTTCAATGAAAGGCGGCATTACTGCTATTCAGCGGCACCACAACACAAAACACAGAGCCTCATTAATGACAGCTAATGTCTGCAAATTCACCAATCGTGACAGTAGAAGTCAGTGAAAACAAACTGAACACAACGGAACAACATCATTTAAAGACCCATAATCTTCAATGTGATAAATGTTACAAACACGACAGTATTGACGTCACTGTTCAACTCTGTGCATATGAAAATATCAAAACATGAAAATTCTTCACATATGTCAGCAGCTTTACAGAAGTGTATATAGCGTTCTTGTGATATCTGATGCTATGATTTCCTTCATTAGTGTGACATCAGCTTCATGTCCAGAGCTGGTTCAGTAGATTATCACATAGCCCTCTGTAAGCATGGCTTTGTTGCAAAAACAATGAAGATCCTTTTTTGTGCTGAGTAACACATTCCAAGCAAGCAGCTTTTTTATGCGTGTGACTTACATGAGTGCCATATTAACATCTAATTGACATTCTGTGGTGGAGGCTGTTTACATTGGAGCAAATTCTTTCCAGGCCTTCAGTCCAGAACGTTTAATGAAGCTGTAGACGACAGAAGCTGTAGATGACAGGTGGAGCTGGTGATGAACACTCCTCTCATGTGCAGCTCAGTTCACGGTATATCAAATTCTGTCTTTTATTTGCTTAGGATTTTCATGACTTTTCACTGCAGTAACATGTTTTGAGTATTTTTGGGATGCTTTCTCTTAGAAAAAAGCTGATTTAAAAGAATGGAAGGCCTATTGTGTGTCTTAATAAAACTATAAATTCTGCTATCACTATTTTTAAAACAAAAGAACATCACTGTATTGTTTGATAACCCCGTTTAAGGACTAGCAGATGGATTTGTGGAGTAGCCGAGAGAAGGACCCGTTGAGAGTCAAATACAGCACTTTTCCTGGATGGCATTCTTCAAACATGTAAGTTCATAGAAATATTTCATTGAAATATTGAAAATGTCACATTCTATGCGGTTGTCATCTTTTTCGAGAAAAAAAAAAGAAAGTCAACACATTACACACAAGAATTGTATATTACATTGTGGTTCACAGTTGGCAACACTTAAGTAGTAACCAAAGCATTAAACCAGTCGATTCTGTTCTTGGTTAGGGTTAGGACAGGTGAGTAGTGCTCACCTGCAGATGAATATGGGTAATAGATTAGTTTCATAATTACCTTCTAAATACTTCTTAAAAAGATACTGTTAATGAATATAAAAACCTGTGGCAAAACAAAGATTAATTTTAAAAGATGCTGACATGCACATTATTGTGATATTTGTGATTGATTATGGTTATTATAATATTTAATATTTTATTTTACATTTCTTTTTACTATGCATTTGTGATAAGAATATATGGTAAAAAAAAATAAAACTGTATTTAACATTAAATAATATTTATATGAGAATAAAAATACTTACATTTATATATATATATATATATATATATATATATACATATATACATATATATATATATATATATATATATATATATATATATATATATATATATATAATATAATGTATATATCTGTCAGATTTAGGATTGATTATAAGATCTGTCTCCTGACCTATCAGTGTGTCCACGGTAGCGCACCAGAGTACCTCACAGAACTCATTAATATTCATAATCCATCCCGACATCTCCGCTCTTCTGACACTCACAAACTCCAGGTTCCTAAGTCTAAACTCCGCACTATGGGATACAGGGCCTTCCAGGTAGCTGCACCTCGAATTTGGAACGCTCTACCTAATCACCTGAGAGCGCCACAGTCTATAGAGGTTTTTAAAAATAAACTAAAGACCCACCTATTTTTAACTGCATTTTCTTAAAATATACTTTGCTTTTGTTGTTAACTGACTGTTCTTAAGTTTGTTGTCTTAATTCTGTCATTGCATGTTTTTTTTATATCTATTCTTATTGCTTTTATCTGTACACTTGTAGCACTTTGAGATATGTTCGTCATGTATAAAGTGCATTACAAATAAAATTCATTATTATTATTATTATATATATATATATATATATATATATATATATATATATATATAAAATGAAATTTACAATGGTCTACTTGCACCTGGCTTAATGAGCAATAACTATAAAGATTTATCATTCAAACTTTATAGACCAGTCATTTTAAGCCAAAATGGGGGTCGACTAGAACAAATTGTAAGATTGTAAGAGAAGCAAGCCCAACTGATTCTGTATCCTCAATATGTCCGGAGTAAGGGGAAAAAAGCCCAGAAGAATCCCAGTTGAACTGAGTTGATTACTTACATCAAGACAAACAAAAAATGTTTACAAGTTTTTAAAAAACGTTTGTTAACGTGGGCTAACGGTGCATAATCTAATTATGTATTTGCTAATTTGCATAAATAACACAACATTTCTAAACATTGGTTATAGCAGGTGAAAATGTCTTGTAGAATCTTGTTAATATATAACAGTAATGTTACAGTTATATAATGTTATATATGATGTTATAGTTGAATAAATTGCTTCTGTTGCAATTTCTTCACCCTTTTTTATAAAATGTCTGGAAAAGATGGTACATCGACTTACAATAGGTTGAATGACATGTCTGCCATAGACTGATGGGGTCTGTAGCGTTTTAAACTTTGGGTTTCGGTTAGTAACCCCGCGAACAAAGAGAACTACAAACTTCGACCGCTTGACGGCATATACGTCAATCCCACCCCACTTCCTTAAAATCGGACGTGCGAGCCAAATGTTATAGTTATGGCTGAAGCAGAACAGAAAAACAAGAAAGCAAAGGTTTTTTCAGACGAAAGCAAAAAGAGAAAAAGAGAAATTGATTGCGTTAAAGGCAGAACGAGTATCGACTTTGGGCCAGTGCTTTCTGGCGTGAGCTGAAGGAGGAGGAGCGGGCGAACCCATGCGTACTAGGCTGTCATGCTTTTGGACTAGTAAGTACATTATATTGCTTGCATACTAGCCTAGCTCTATTCTCTTAGTTTTTTTGTCTGCCTTACTATGTTACGGAAGCTATCTCATCCTCCGTATATTTACGTTCCTTGCAGTTAATTCATTATGGTGACAAAAAAATATTGCTATTAGACGTACAGGTAATACAAAAACAAACACATTTCCTCATCCATGATCATGAATCATTAAATCCATAACATCTCTGGATGGTGAAAACGACATCTCCCATCGTTCAACTCTCCCTCATAGCGTCATCAAGCTTCGCCTTTGTTATTGTTGGTAACTGCAACCTCTTGTGGCGAAAATTTCCTACATATTGTACCTTTAAAGGTTGTATCAGCGATTGTGGGTGACGTCACTTCTGTTTGTGTTTGAAGCGAGATCCCAAACAAACCAAGTAAGCTCACCCCTCCCGTTTCGTGCATCATGAAAAAACGATCATGCACGCGCATATCTTAAAGCGACAAAAACACACTATTTTCAGATCGACAGTCTACCTCAATGACGGCTCATTCTGTGAACTATATAATGTGAACTTGGCTGCTTTGGATTACAAGGTACTGTATAATGATGTATATAAAATCTGCAGTCGAGCCATGTCATATCGTATCACTTCACTGGAAGCAGCGGTAAGATAAAACGTGCCAGAATCGGTCATAGAGCTGCAGATCTAACGTTATGGGGAAAACTCATGGCAACAACAGCTATCTGGAATAATATTATAACAGCTTATTTTTATTATTCGGCTAAAATTAGTCCTGAACGTAGGCTAGTGTTATTGCTAATAGTATGTTATGGCTACACATCAAAGCAGACACGGATAACAAATGCAACTCACACACTAAATCCCTACAATCTGATATTCGCTATCCAAGTTTAGTCAAGCTTCGCTCATATTTAAAGAATTATGCCGGAATTTATTTTTTTAAAGAATTATATTTTCACACACAGTTCATATACACAATGTCAGCACTAGAAGCGTCTCACCTGTCCAGAAGAAACAGTGCAACCTCGGCGTCCGATTGAACATTTTCAATTCTTTGAGCTCTCTCCACCGTTCAAAAGGCTTGCCGATTATTATTCGTGTCTTTGACGTAAAACGACGGTGTTCCCTCGCCCTAATCCCCCTTCTCTTCTTGGGGATTGCCTCTTCCATGTTAAATGTATCATGTCCGTTGATATCATAGGGTTGATAGACGCTAACTTATTCTTCAGCTCCGATACAACCTTACATGACTTAAAAGCAATAATTACAAACCCACATAACTATAGAATCAGTTATTAATGGGAATGTGAACGCCATCAGCGTTTATCACAGGTTCGAGTTTAAAGTCTGTTTAGAGAACGGTGTCATCTTAGTGGCCCCTAATTTAATAACAAATGATCATTTTGATGCAAGTGGATTTAAGCTGGAAAATAACATTATTCATGAACCACAACCACTGATCGCACATCTGTACAAAAATCTATCTTTTATTTAGTTTTACTAAAATCTTGTCTTTAACCGAGTGACAACAATAGGCAAGCATAGCATTTTTAGACAAATCAAGTCAAGTCACATTTATTTATATAGCACTTTTCACAATACAGATTGTATCAAAGCAGCTTTGCAGTGATAACATGAAAGTAGTACAACACAGATCAATAATATTGTTAAATTTTAAATGTCCCCAACTAAGCAAGCCAAAAGCAAGGCAACAGTGGCAAGGAACCAAAACTTTGAAACATTATGCAGCCATTAAAGAATGGAAAAACTATGCAAACTCTTAATATATTTAATAATTTAACAAATGGTTGACACACTTTAGACCGCTAAAATCTCCAAGGATGTTATATTTCTAAATTATTACAGATTTCCATTTTTTTCTCTGGAAATATGTTTTGAGCACATGAATTGCGTAAAACTGCGGGGAAAAAACTGTTTTGATAACAACAGCACAACCTACCAAGGGCGTGTCCCACGTTGCTACTTAATTTAATTCTGAATGGATGTCTTTAAGCATTGTGCTGTGTTTTGTGCATGATGAGTATCGTTCTAATGCCATATCAAGATAAAGGAAGATCAAGTTCAAAAACAATGTTAAAACCCTTCCTGGATTAGTATAATTTTTGCACCCTGCTTGCACTGTAAATGTTTAAATGGTATATTTAAATTTGTCTAAGCAGACTGTAATTGTCTATTGTTCTGACAAAGAACAACAACAGATCATATTTTATGACCAATTTATTGTGAAAATCAACTGACTTTTTCCTGCAACTGTACATGACTCCTGTTTTCCTCAACAGATATCAGCGCGACCCTTCTACAGCCACTTTCCTGCAACACCGAACTACGAAGTACAACAGCTCAGCTGGAGAGCCGAAAACATGGGCGACTTTGGGGACAGGAACTAGCTGGAATATTCCTGACATTAAGAAGCAGACTGAGATATCAACTACAAAATTCCCTTCACAAACCAAGTTATCTCAGAGAGAATTAACTGACTACACTGGTAAAGTTAGAAGAGAAAAACAGAGATCAAATATGGGGAGGTATAAAGAAAGACTCGAGGGGTGGGAAAGCACATGGCCGATAAACTGCAGAGGAACAAAAGAAAAATGTGGAACAAACAGTCAGAAAGAGCTGCAAGCTTATGCCTATTGCGATCCTCACTCACTTTCCAAAAAAACATCTGGTTTTGAGGTTGTGGGGTGGAAGTCCTCTAAGAGTGCTTCAGGCATAGAGCAAGAGTTGGGATGTGGGCAGTGGGCTGTTAGTGCAGATACCAAAGAAAATTACCAGCCGACTATATTGACACCAGACAAAAAAGACAAAACTGACCTGAGCAACAGAGAGAGGGAAATGAGGAGGAATTGGAGCACTTGTAATTCGAGAAATACAGAAAGTATTTTCCCACTAGTATCCTTTAGACAGCCTCCATCCTACACGGCCCCTCCGGCATACGGCTCCCCGAGGGATGGCAAGCTGGCAGGAATCCCCAAAGTTACGGCACAGGAGAGTCTGGAAGCTTTTAGGGAGCAAACATTAGAGAGCAGGACAGTAAACTTTACAGATTCAACAGAAACACAACGTAATCCTTCAGCAAACAATGGACATTATTTAGAAAAAAGTAATCAGACACAGAACATAGAGAGTAATCGTACTGATGTCACGGGGGGGCAACACTGTCTGGAAGCCCTATATACTACCTCTGCCATGCAGTACACAGCAACAAAAACAGCACCCGCTTCTCCACAAGCACAGCTTCAGCACCGCGAGCGTTCAGAAATGAGCTGTCCTGATATCTCTCAGACCAAACTCGCAAGAAGAAGAGGTGGTGAGATTGTGTTTTGTCTCGTCTCTCGTATGGGGGAGGTGTCCGGCTTGTCCAGTTCTCCAGAGGAACCACTGAAATCCCATGTGTTACCCCTGTTAACTGATCCTCATGACATGACAATCACACCAGAGCAGACAACCACACCTCAGAGCAAAGAGGACAGCAGACCAGATCAGGGTGAGGCCGTGAGGCAGCTGCGTGGATCGCTCATGTTTGGGTTTACACCCCTAGAACAGACAGGAGGGGATCAAAGATCTAGTTCTATCCAAGATTTTACTAATGTGATAAAATCGAAAGAAGATAAACAAGAGTTGCAATGTTATGGCTCACAGTCACACTGTTTAACCCAGAAGTCATATATTGAGACAAATGTAGAGGAGAAAGCGTGCAGGGAAATAGTTGAGAAGTTCCCATTGTGGAAAGAACCAAAATATCATCACCACTTGATGGACATGACAAAGCAAAGAAATGTGCAAAGCCAAGGGATCAACAATGAGTCCAAAGTTACTAACACAAAGGACACCAACATATCAACAAAAGACCAACAGAAGAGTCTTGTGGTCATTGATGCAACTTGTGTAGTTGTCAAGGTTGAGCTTGTACTTCTTCCAGAGAAGGAACATGTCCAGTACGTGTGTTTGGCCGAGGACAGGGAGAAGGCCGATGTGCTAAAGCAGAACTGCAGTGCCATCTCAAGCCAAGACACCCCTGAAAACAGTACTTCGGACACGAGAGAAGAAAGGATTCTTGGAAAACCACATGAGTATCCCAGGACAGGATTACAGACATATGAGAGCATTTCACAAGAACTGAGTAACACAGAGGACCCAATAAAAGAGTCTGAGGAATCTCCATCAGCAGCCAAAACTGTTGATGACTGGCAAGTGCTGGAACATGACCTGATGGCGGGACAATCCTGGACTGGGACAACACTGGAGAATAATGAAGCGTTAGAGGAAAAGGTCAAGATCATGAAAGTGGGAAACCAAACCACTGCAAAAGAACATGAAGCTGCGATTGAAGACTTTGTGGCTTTAACCGATGCAAAGACCACATCTGGAGATTCTGGGGTACAAACTTTAAAGACCACAGTACAGATTAATCAAGTCACTGATCAAGACATTGGACGAACACTGGACCACAGTGTAGATAAACACAGAACACAGGAGGATATTCAAAAGGACACTTTACCAAAGAACTATACCAATGATAGTTCAATAGAAGAAACCCTCTCAGATGAAGTAGAGAACAGGGAAGAACTTGCTTTGGATTGCTCCAAACCTCTCCTAAAAACAAGTGCAGAAAATGCCATCGAAGGACTTCAGGAGGGTCTATATAAAGTTGTTTTACCTTCCATTGTGGGCTTCAGTACACTCAGAAGATCAAGCTCTTTACCTCATGTGTCATGCATCTCTGCTTCCAACACGTTGGATGGATCTCACACAGAGAATAAGCCACTGTTGCTTACATCTTCTACGAATACAAAAGGCACCCAGTACTCCTCACTTCCCTCGCTGTTTTCAACTCCTGTTACTGTTGCTTTTGAAAAGTCATCTCTATCAAAGACAAGAAGCGTGCGTGCGGAGGTTTTACTCTGCACGTCATCACGCCCTGAACACACACAAAAAACACAACATGCCAAGTCTCTGTGGGACGCTGTAAGTCGCATACGCAAACACACTGCTCCTGACTCCGAGACTGAGGAAGAGGAGGAACAAACTGACCCGCTTTATCAGAGATTGGAAACAGAGGAATGAGTATTGGAGGACCGAACTTCAGAGAAGGCAACAACATTTAAAACCATGTGCCCTTGGCAGAAAACACTGAGCGTAAACTACCGTTGCATTTCAAGCAAAGGGTGTAAAAACAAAACAAAAAAACAGTGACGTCACACCAGTGTTTGACTGTTTGTATCCTTCTGCTTGTGTTTGTTCCAGGTACTGTGAGTCTGTGTATTAGTGGTAGGGATATTAAAGTAATGCTTTCTGCAGGTTACACTGTTATGAGCAAGTCATTGAATCTTCTGCTCAACCAACCAGTGAAAAAACAATGATTCATGATTCAGGAAAGAGAAATTACATGCTGTGTGTTGCTCAGAGGCACACACTGTTTAATTCTGTTTTTTTAATTCCCAACTCATCATCCATGAGGACACACCAGGGCCTGTTAAGAACAACTACAACGACACAATACGTTTAAACAACGATCTGTCAAACTTTCTATATATAGCAGGTCCATTTTCTTCAGAATTCTCATTAAAAAAAACAAAAGGGAACCACTTATTATGAAAAATATTAAGACAGGAGTGCAACTTAACATTCCGGCAAACCTTAACATTACCAAACATGACATATCAGGATATGAATAAGAAAATTACTTAAGAGAAATCATATTTCTAGATAATCAAATTTGGTTAAAACCTTTGTAGACACAGCTTGCGTGACAACACTACAAAAACACATGAAAGTGAAACCCCCTTGCCATTTATATTTTTTTATAATAGACCCTAGCCTGACTTCGTCATACTCATATATTTAAGAGAGAATATGAGTCTGAAACTCCTCCGTTGGGCTTTGATTATGAGGCGTGTCGTAACCGAACCAGGAAAAAAAACCTCTGCACTCCTACAACCAATCAGAGCAACGCAGTACGTCAACTCCTTTGCATAGCGCAGTTTCCAAATACAGACCGTAGCCTAACTTTATTTATTTTAGAAGTTAAATAACGAGTGTTGCTTCTTTTACTTACTTCTCTATGAGTGCCACCAAAGGAGAAACCACAGCGACCACAGGCTTTTCATTACGTCCCATCTTCTTAACGACCGTCAGAGCCAGCTGATAAGTTACACTTTTCCTGAATCATGTAGGAAGGACGCCAAAAATATCTTTCTGATCGACAAATGTCTTGATTGCAGTTCTCTGTTTGTCTATAAAATGAATGCGCTGTAGATTTATTTTACAAAAGACTCTATACATCTCAATTCTCCAGCTGCAGTCATCTCTGACAAGCGCTCTTTGATAACGTGATGATTACGTCCCTGCAGATCACCTGTCCATCATCATATCCCGCCCTGGCAATTTGATTGGCTCAATCATTTTTTGCCCGATCATAATTACTCCTCAATGGATCGAGTCCAGACCGAACTTCCCGACCAATAAATGTTGTGGGCGGAGTTCGGGCTGGCATCCAGGCTAATAGACTCCACAAGTGAGACAGACTAAAGTGCAAATATTACAAATAGGTCGTTGTCTTACGCTGGCGCTAGAGTTTTTCGCCCCCGTAAAGAAATGGTAATTTTCAGACCACAATTTAATAGAGTTGTCTGCTCCTTGATCCCTGAAACAATTATTAAACTTACATTTTTGACTCTTAGTAAAATAAGTTTTGCCTCAAACCACATGACAAATGAAGCCACGCAATGGTGACCAATGAGTTAAGATGAATAAGAAAGAAGAACTTGTGGCTTTTACCTTTGGTTTCTCTAGCTATTTGAGTAAATGAAAACATAATACTTACATTTAAATGTGAATTTGCCGTCCACCACCGAACTCTCGGCCGCACTTTAAAAAAAAGCTAAAAATACTGTTGTCACCAGCGCAATGGCTTATGGGGAAGGGTAGGCCGCTTAGGATCCATTTATGTATCCTCTCTTTCACGAGGGAACGAAGAGTGCATTTGCCGTCGCTCTGGAATCAGGGAAGCCTTCGGTGACGCAATCGGCCTTCGGATGGTCAGCCTTCACATTGGGACACAGCTACAGTTTTAACCCCAAAGATTTATCCATCAGAATGGAAAGATTCAAGTGTGTCGTAATTTGATACAACTTTTAAGATACTCTTGTGTTCTTTTTGATAACACTAATGTAACTAAGGGCAGTCAAGCTGAGCCTCATGGATTTCACCATGTTAAAAGACTAGATACTGTATATAGTGGCCTGATTTTACTGTTTAATTGCAGAAACTGCTTTGTATTTTCTGCTGTATCTCACCCACAGTGAGCTGTTTGTCATCTTCTAAAAGCTATCATAATCATACACAGGTCATACCTGTGTGTTTAAAGCCTAACAACTTCCTCTACAACTTTCTGAGAAATCAAAATGACTCATTTCAAACACATCAAACTACTGATCAACTATATCAAATGATTTTGATAGTACTCCACAACACTGTCAGTAAGTTACAACTTACATTCAATTTCACATCAAAATTTAACGGAGAACATTCATTTTACTGAAGTGTACAATATGCCAGATCATTTTTATTTATAAATAAATGTATAAATATAGTATTTATTCAAACCTCCCAGCTCCAGATATAAAGTTCATTACTGTCTGCCTCATGTGATGGACTGTTCTGGATGTTTCCCTGTTTATGGCCGAACGCTGAGATCGGCTCCAATCATCTCAAAGTTGCTTTATAAATATTGATATTGCTCTCAGGATGTCGTTGCACCAGCTCCACCTCGAACACCTCTGGTAACACACGGCTGTAGAAGTCCTGAGCGCCGTGCTCTCTGCGCATCGGGGACGCCAGGAGGACCACAGCTCCGTCCTTACACAGATGGACCAGCGTGTCCACGAGGAGAGGGAAGGTTTCCGGCGTGTAGACGATATCAGCTCCCAGCACAAACTCCCAGGCGGAGGAGAAGCGGTGGAGGTCCCGGCCCCATGACAGCGGGCACACGGCAGGAGCGCCTGAGGGCCAGCCCGAGAGAGGAGTGTTACATGCAACGTTCCTCTCGATCTGAGCGAGGGCCAAAGGCAGGTCTGTGATAGTCACGTGGGCTCCTGAAAGAGTGTCTGAGAGTTATATTTGGCATCACAGGTCATGTTTCTATCAATGAAAGGTTTGTTGAGTGTGAGATTTTCAGTTCTCTTTGCTTCCATGGCGATATAAAGAACGGCAGATTTCATAGGCAGAACAGTTATTGAAGAATCAGGAATCATGCCAGTAATGTTAATTCTTCTTCTATCCCTATGCAGGGCTCGAGACTAATGGGGACAATAGAAAATGTGTTTAGGACGAACAGAATTATCCTCCAGGACGTCTACAGGATACAGGACATTTTGTATGTGTGTTCACAGGGCTCAAATTTCGGCACGGGTATTGCGCATAATTCTAATCATTCCCGCAGGTCTCCTATTTATAATGCGGGATATTCCCGCAGTCGTAATCCACACCGATTATACAATCAAATCATTCTTTTAATAACTATCTGCCATTCGCAATTTCACAAACAGCGTGAGTGTTCGGTGCCGCCACGTCTTCTCTTCTCTCAAAATGTGTTGTGGAAGGCAATCATCAAGCGCTGCTGCTGTAATACACACTCGCGTTCAGGAGTCGGGACATGACGGGATATTCACTTGCACAATCGGGCCAGCAGTGCATCGTGAATGAAGTTTACCATTTGCACATCTTTTTAGTCTTACCAGTTTAAACATGCAAGCGATTTAAACTGATCTGGGTCTGCGCACGTTCATTGAAAATCCGCCTCAAGAACAGCTGGCCAGGCAGTAACAAAAGTTATTTTTCACGGATTATATTGCTTTAACACGCAAAACTGTTTCAATTTCGGTCTTCGTGAGTACAATAGTCTAAACATAGTCAGTTTTGTCTTTAATAAGCATAAAACGCATGCCAGTATAATGAACAGAATCCGTGGACTGGCTCTTAAAGAGACAGCAACCATATGTGTCGGTCATTAAAGTCCCTGTAAAGTCAAAATTAAGTATGTGTTCTGAGTTTGTCACACCACAGAAAAACGTGTAATTAGCCACCCAGCCAAATTTGAATGATAAAAAAAGTCGGGAAGTACATAAAATAAGTTGAATCATGAAAAATCATGAAAAAATGAGCAGATTCTCTGCTCTCAAACGCTGGGGGCGTGTCCGCTGGCTTTGCTGAAACCACGCCCACTCACGGGAAAGCTGTCGACGGTGATATTAGCTGATTAGCTTTTGGAGACGGGAGGATGAAGGCGGGAGATCGTCGTTTCGGCCCCGTTCACCAGTAACAGCGGATTATCAGTGAATTATCAGTGAATCCTCTTCATCAAGGTAACGTTAGGCTCTCTAAAAACCTCTTCTTGATGTGATCGTTTTTAAGGGAATTTAAATGAAGATACCGATCTGTTTTGTACATGATCGCATCCAGGTAGCAGCCCATGCATGTCCGTGTCGAAGGCATAGCTAGCTAGAAAACTGTAGGCTCAGCTGTAGTAACTAATAGTACTGACAGTCACTCGCGATTGAGCGGTGAATGCGAATGTGCTCGGAGTGTGTGTTGAGAGAGAGGGAGATCAGACTCTGTGCGTCATCAAATAGGGCCGTGTCCAGCAGCTCATGGGCTCCAGTGCGTCAAACAGTGCCCTGTTTTAGCCCCGCCCAATTAATCCGTAAAATTGCAATGGTGAAAAACTGTTTAACGGTCTAACTCCACATTTCAGTACTTCACAGTTCACAGACTTTGTAATATGTTTTAGCAATACATATGTAACATTTATAATGTGTTTAGAAATTTTTTGCAGAATTGACTTTACAGGGACTTTAATTTTGTCGTCAAAACAACAAGGAATTAAAGTTAAAGGAATCAGGATTAATAGCCTATGTAGACCTATTTAATTTATTCTGGACTAAAATACAATCCAGTAGTGTTATTTTTTAATTTGATTACTTTATTCAGTTTCTGTCTATGAATATAGTGTTAGACCTTCAAAAACTTTTCTCTTTATTTGTCTTTATTTGGATCTTTATTCTATTGTATTTGTTTGTGCAACTTTTTTCAAGTTAATTGAACAATTTAAATCAAGCTTTGTGTTGTGTAAATTCTTAACAACATTTCCCATTGTAAAAATGCAATGACCGCAAACATTCAGGCAAGATAAATAATTTTGTTTGGCAAAAAAATTAAGGTATTTTTTTAAGTCACAGTAGTTACATCTGTATCTGTATTGCATGTTCAAACTTTAAAATCATTCATATTAACTGCATAATAGATTTTTCCTCTGGAGTAGGTTTGTAAATTTTAGAGAAATTATAAATTAATGCATTACAGTTTAACTAAACCCATTATATTTTAGTCATCTGAATTGTTTTAGTTAACTAACAGCTATGGATGAAAATAACAAAGTACAGAAACAACATTTTTATTTTAGGACGGTTGACATTCACTTCAGGACGGTACAAATTGTTATTCAGTGTTGCGTTTCCCATTTCAAAGACTGGAGGACAGTAAATTTTGAAGACTCTGACATAATCCCGTTTTCCTCGGTTCTCCTCCGCTTTAATCTCAACAACCGGAAATGGACGAGCATCCTTGCGTCAAATGCGGAATTTATGCGTGCATATAGCCCATTTCAATTTTACTCTATTGGTAACGAGGGAACTTGCGACCATACCCACGACGGTTCCAGGACGGAGGTGAAAAAAGTTAGTCTGGAGCCCTGCCTATGATTTTGAATCGCTTCCATGGAGGGTATAGGGTTAAAAATAAGCTGACAATCAAGAAAGATTTCAGACATTTCCAAATGTGTCAGCATTTTAAAAAACTTCAAGGCAAACAATTGCACAAGCATAAATCAATATTTTACCTAATCGTGCAGCCACTATCCCAACCAGACCCGTTCCTGCTCCCAGCTCTATTATCCGCTTCCCACTGAGATCCAGAGACTCAAAGAACTGGCATAAATGAAGAGCCTGAGACAAAACACTGCAAATCAACATGTGTATCAAAGAAATTACTTAAATTAATTTTTTCCAAACATTTAATGGGATTATATTTATATATTTTATTTTAGTTTTACACTGTTAGGTTAAACAGAAAATTCTGACTAAAGATCCAGTATGAAAATGACGAAGACATTGCAGCATCCCAAATTAAAAAATAAAGTATTAATTGATCAGTTATTGATATCGTTTTGATCAACAGGTTTGTTTACACATTAAACGTGTGTCCACAACATTATCAGCTTTCAGTAGCCTACCTACGACAAAACTCAGGGAACCGAACATGTCCTTCCCGGTCACCGTACTTCTCTATTTATAGAATCTGCTGTCTCAGTAATGTAAATAGTTTAATAAAGACTCACGGACTCCCACACTGACGCAGAAACTCCCAGGTTTGCGCAGTAATACTGATGAATTGTGATGTTCTGTCCAGAAACTCGGTATGTGTTTTCCGCGCTGAACGAGTCCTCGAATAAACGGCTGTCTGCTGGAAACATGGAGAGCTCCGCGTCTCCGGTCATCATCGCTGTCTCTGAAACACGGCAGCTGGAGGACAGTAGTTTCCTCCTTTAGTTCAAGAGTAAAGCTTTTAACACTCACAACAGCTGCAGGACGGGGTTAGTCTCCTCGTTTAGTTCAAGAATACAGCTGAGCTCATCACAGAGACAGAGAGAGTACGGGAAGCCACCAGACCCAAAACAGACGACCACTACTGCTGCAGCCAAGAGCTGAAATCAGTCGATGATCTGAATATTAATATTAATCTGAATATTACAGTCTCTGATTTCTCATCATTTAGACGTTTCTTCTACTTAAATGGCATTTCTTGCATCCTGCACAGAGACACATCTCAAACTACTGTTTTATTCGTTTTTATTTGTAAATGGGAGACAACATTTTTATGTCACACTATAGAAGCATTGAACTACACAAAAATAACATATAAGTTAGTATTAAAAACACCGTAGTCTCACACACACACACAGCTGGGGTTAGGTGTCTCTCACACACACAGCTGGTATGGTGTCTCAGACTCACACACTAATATCTCACATGATATTGAAAGATACAGCTTATACAGCTCAGTATACAGCGTATTGATGATGCAGACTATATACAGGCGAGCAGATGAACTTAGAACCTAAACGCAAAATGCCAAATGTTCGCTACAGCATTTTCTTTATAATAGTGAAGGGAAGCCAGGGCTTTGTGAGGCGTGTGAGGCTTTTAGCACAATGCGCATTAGCGACATCTGGTGGTCAGACTTGTTCTCTCCACAATATCAAACACTTCACAGCAGACAGAGCAGAAAAAGCATGTGACCAAACAAAGCTTCGGAAGTCACTCTGTGACATAAAAGAAAGGAATCAATCTGGGATCAATACAGTTCTGGATCAAAACTTATCTACATTAATTTGTGCCAATGAGACCACGACTCATAATGTGTAGGCTGGTCAACAGAAAGGGAAAGCATTTTCTTTATAATGGTTTTCTATGGAAAAACGCTGAATGTTGCATTCATGTTCTGGTTCATCTGCTCGCCTCTATTATAGTCTGTTATTTAATTTAATCTTTAAATATCACTGATTTTTGTTGTCTGGTGTTTTTGTCCTCCTCTACAATATTCTCAATATATCATACAATATGAGCCATACTATTTATCATACTATTTTTCAGAGTATTATTGCATATGTCAGACTTTCAGTTCCCGAACAGTCCTGCACCACAGTATGGCGTCTTTCCACCGGTTTAGGACTTGCTGTGCAAAAATAACGTATAACTATTTTTGACTGCTATTGCATTCACACTTGGAGCTTTCAAATAAGCATAGCATTAAGATTTTTAAATAAAACGAAAAAATACTTGAGAATGGCAGATGGTTCTAACAATTCTAGAGATTACCATTTGATTGACCTCAGTTCTTCAATTTATTTCAATTCTTATTTGCTGTTATGTTATCAAAATAAATTCCCACCCACTTATGACACCGAATGTTAACATGGTCATCAGAACGTGCTTTGGGGCCACCAGAACCCTCCCAGTCCACATCTGGACACCCGGACTGGCTAATCGGCTCCTGCACAGTTCCCAGTAATAATGATGGAAGCACACATGAGCTTTGATCACTCTGATCCTTGTACATCTGTCAAAGACTTCGGCTGGAAATGTCAGAGCAAACACAGAGTGGCCTTGTGTTCATCAGCCTGTGTTACTAGAACAGCAGATCTCTGCAATCTGGTTCTGAGAAACCCGCCGTGTGTCGGCCCCTGAAGTAGGTCAAGCTTCGGTGAATATCATGGACTGCATAATAATAGGAGCGAGCCACAAGTTTTACTTATAGTTTTTATCAAAAGCAGACACTTTATAACCAGAAACATGAATTCTTTTTAAGAAAACAGTAAATGCAGTTTCCATTGAAATTTACTTGAAAGAAAATGTTAAATTAACGAATGGTGTGTCATTTACATCAAGTGTCTCTAACTAGTATGTACTAACATGTCAATTAACCATTTGGTAAAATGCACCGAATGTTTTATGGTGTAATTATTTTTAAAAATACCTGCATGTAATTACAGTTGTGATTCATTTCTGTAATTCAAACTATAATTACACTGTCGACCTTTAACCCTTAACCGTCCCCAACCTTACCAGTGTCCACATCAATAACAACTCACTATAGTAATAACATTAAATTATGCATAATTACATACATGCAAGTAAACCTAAACAAACCCCTAAAGTACATGTAGTTGATTAATATTATTTAATATTTAAAATGAATAATTACAAGAACACCTTTTTTGTACATTGTAGTTAAAGACACCTAAAATAAAGTGAGACCTATTTAATAAACACATATGGAGTGATTTATTAATTAATCACACTGAATATGGTTTATCAGCAATTATTTAGTCTATTATTCCTGAATATGTATGTATGGATGGCTGATGTTATGCCAGTTCACCAATACATGTGAAAAATATCTTTATATGGGTTATAAAGCACATGCGGGGTCCGCCAACGCTGACATGTTTCTTTTCAATAGACAGCAAGTGACCACAGCGAATAAGGCCAGAGATGGATCACAGTGGTGCTCTTAGACTGACAGTAAATTAGCACCAAATCTGCACTTGACCATACGCTGCTCTCCATGGACTCTCCTCATTTGTGAGCTGTTTTACATAAAAGTACCTACAAATGAACAGCTGTAAATATAGTGGCGAGATTCCTGTGCCTTTCCACTTTCCGAGTCCGGAAGAAACCAAAAGTCCTTTCTGTGCATCTTCATCCAGCAATGGACGTCTTTGGCGTTTCTTACATTCGTATGTTTGCATGGATGATGAATGCGAGGTCGCGCTTCAGTGGCCAGTCTCTGAGTCGCGCAGATCCACACCGTTGCACAGCGGGTCGCAGACACATCGCCGGTTCGGGCCTGCTTCTCTTCGGGACATCACAGAATCGTTCTGGCTCTCTGGATCTCACCATCAGAGACGGCCAGTTCCGTCTCACCGGGTCCTGATGACCTCTGACCTCCGGATCAGCGCTCAATGAAACGCAGGTTGATCGGTCTCTCTGGAACCAGAAGAGTCCTGGTCATCGGACGGACTGTGTCGTTCTCTTTTGCCGACTCCACATCAAAGTGCATTAAAATCTGGGAGAGAAAAAATGTGTCATAAATCAAATAAACACACAAACCTGGAGCACACCGTCTGTCACGGAGTTTAAGTATTGCAGGGGGTGGGGCTTAGGTGTCACAGGGCCGGAGTTTAAATATTGCAGGGGCGGAGCTTATATGTCAAAGGGTGGGGTTTAAATATTGCAGGGGTGGAGCTTAGGTCTCACAGGGCCGGAGTTTAAATATGGCAGGGGCGGAGCTTAGATGTCAAAGGGTGGGGTTTAAATATTGCAGGGGCGGAGCTTAGGTGTCACAGGGCCGGAGTTTAAATATTGCAGGGGCGGAGCTTAGATGTCAAAGGGTGGGGTTTAAATATTGCAGGGGCGGAGCTTAGGTGTCACAGGGCCGGAATTTAAATATTGCAGGGGCGGAGCTTAGATGTCGAAGGGTGGAGTTTAAGTATTGCAGGGGCGGAGCTTAGGTGTCACAGGGGCGGAGTTTAAAGGGGTGGCCTCATTTCCAAATTAGCCTTACTGTAGTGTAATTTATCAGTGGAGACAGACTGTTTTTAATGGCAGGCTAGCAGTTACCGTTGATTCGTGCTAGCCTAGCACCGGCGAACTATGCAACTGGAACGTCTCCACTAATAAATAACACTAAGGCTAACTTAGAAATGAGGCCTGGTGTCCAAAATCCTGAACCACCCCTTTAAGTATTGCAGGGGCGGAGTTTAAGTATTGCAGGGGCGGAGTTTAAGTATTGCAGGGGCGGAGTTTAAGTATTGCAGGGGTGGAGCTTATGTGCACTAAAACGTAAGCAACTGCAAGATACATACTGGAAGATCCAGTGATCATATTCTGATTAAATATTACAGGGGCAAAAAAAACTAAAACAAAGCAAGCATGGGCGAATGGTTCTCGATAAGATCAATAACACGGTGACAGACATGCAGGCTTGATTGCAGAATAAATACCCTGGAAAGCGCCAGGTAAAGCTCCAGCTCAGCGATGCGCCGGCCGATGCAGCTGCGTTTGCCCACGCCGAAGGGAACCGAGGCGAACGGATGGTTTCCCTCGGAGCGACTCATCCAGCGCTGCGGGACGAAGGAGTCCGGGTCTCGGAAGTGTTTCTGGTCACGGGACGTGGCGTAGTGGCAGAGAGTGATCAGAGTCTAAAGGATTGATCACACACACACACACACACACGCCTGTAAACACCAGCTTCACCAAGTGCACATGTAAAGCTTTAAAGCACAAAAGCTTTACTCACGTTTCTAGGGATGAGATATCCTCCAACTTTAATATCTTTATCTGGGATGACCCTCGCATTGGCCGGAATTACAGGATAGAGCCTGGAAGTGTTTCAGTGCTTAATTTAATATAATGAACTCATCAACGGTGAACTGTATTAGACAGAAGAGTGAAGGCCTTCTACCTGAGGATTTCCTTGATCACGGCCTTCATGAGAGGCATGGCAGCGACGTCGCCTGCGTTTGGGACGGTCCGGTCCTTCATCACGCCCAGAACCTCGTCCCGCAGGGCCGTCTGGACCTCCCGATGCCGAGCGAGCTCGTACAGGGACCAGGACAGCGTGCTGGAGATCTACAGTGGGAATCAGGCAGGAACATGTGTTTGGACACCCAGCCTCAGTCTTTATTAGAATATCAGCCTTATATTATATAAAGGTATGAGTTATCATGCAAAAGTAGGAGTTAAAGTGCATTGATCTGAATAATGACTCTTGTCTTCTGCAGAGCTGCTGATAGCTAAAACTGAACAAGTCTCATATTTGAAGAAGTTTGCATCACTAAGTCTGTTTATTACAGTGAATCTGCTTTAAAGCCATCTGTACTGTGTAAATCGCTGTAGAAAACTTGACCAAGGCCATTGTAGAAAGCCTGCGAAGTGTATAACGGGTTGGTTAACCCGGTCAATCACGTATTTGTGCCTGCAAAGCTTTTATTAAGGCTACTGATGTGACTGGTAGACATGAACTTCAACAGATTTGTCTAAAGTAAAACTCCACCCCGTTAGAAACAGGAACAGGTTCAAAAACTCTTTTGTACCCGCATCAATTAAACTGTTGAACGTGAATAAGTGAAGTCTGTTTATTTCTATGTGTATGATGTGTATGACTATTTTGTGAATTTTTTTTTATGTATCAGGTTTTGGCAAACTGCTGGCATTACAAGTTTCCCTATCAGGTGCAATAAAGTAAATTTCATTTAATTCATTCCTACCGTGTCGACGCCAGCGAGGAGCAGCTCGGTCACATTACTGTACACAGACTTCAGCGGCACGCCGGCCTGAGACAGATAATAGGTCAGGTATCGTCCCTCTAAACACTCTCCTCGAGACATCTTCTGCTTCTCCTCCTCAAGACGCTGGTCGATGTGACCTTTCGCTGTGATGACAGGAAGAGTTTCAAAATCTCAGACATCATAAAGGACAACACAATCCACATCAGTGCGGCCAGAATCACAGTGCAGATTAAAAACATCCACAATTTCCTGCATGCACTCTTTACGACGGTTCACATCAGGTTCTAGGGCAGTTTGGTAAATGCTTTGGTCACTATTGTACATTGTTAGGTTTCGGCTGTAGAGCCCGCACGGTGACGGTGAGGCGCTGTAGTCGCAGGACACAACACAGCTCTTCCGTTCCGATTACAACATTAAACCGGTTCTCCCCACTCAGTGAAACACCCACGTCGAATCCTGTTGATTGTGTCCTAGTTATTGGCGATTCGATTACTAAGAATGTGAAAATAGAGACACCAGCCACCACAATCACCGGGAGCCAGAGCGCCTGACATCACAGCAAATTTAAAAGTGCTGGCTAATGCTAACCGTAAATTCTCTAAGATTATTATTGACGTTGGCACTAATGATGTTCGACTTTGCCAGTTGGAGATCAGCAAAATTAATATTTAAGAGTTAACTCGCAAGTATGATGTCAAGCACTGTAATTTGCTTTGACCCTCTTCCTGTTCGAATTAGTGATGAGAAAGTTACTGTCTTAGACTGTCCTCAATCAATCGCTGGCTGTCTAAGTGGTGTCCGCAAAATAACATAGGACAATTGGAAAAGTTTTTGGGGCAGACCTGACCTGATGAAAGGAGATGCTATTCATCCCTCCTGTGCTGGTGCTGGTGCTGCTCTTCTCTCTAGTAATACGGCACAGTCTTAGAGCTCAAACATGCCAATCTGGGGCTCAGGTCAGGAAGCAGACAGACTGGCTAAACCGACCGTCTGCTAGCGGCGTCGCGTCAGATAAATCCCATCACATAGAGCCTCTTTCACCTGGATATAATCACATAGAGATCGTGTCTGTTCCCTGAACTAGGAAATAAGAAAAGCTCCCAAACCCATATAAGGGTCAAAATTGAATTGATGTTCAACAATTAAACTATGCTCAAAGCAACAAAAAACTAAGCATTCCTCGCCACTGTCGCCGTTTTTGCCTTTTTTCACCTTTGTTGCCATTGATGAGCCAAAAAACGGCTTGCTAAGTTTGGGGACATTAAATTTAACATTTACTTTAATATTCAACATTAATATTGATCTGCCGGCACGGACACCATTACGAGAACTGAACTGAGCTGGACGATGTCATCACGGTTTCTCCAGAGCGGCTAAATATATGAACTAAATTAATAACTCTTTCACAACAAAATTTAACATCAGTGAACTTACTGAAGCTGGACTGTGACGCTATTCTCTCCTGGAAATAAACTTTGTTGTATTTTCCTGTTATCTCTGTAAAGCTGCTCTGTAAAACTTATTGCTTAACTACTACAGCACAGTGTAACTTCGGCCCAGTAATCCACTGGAATAGAACGGACATCAGCTTATTAAAGCTCATTTGCATTAACAGAAAGCCGTTTCTCAAGAGAGACCTGCTGAAGACAAGAGTTCATGTTTACATGCACTCCCGTATGCACGCTTTCTCCACAAAAACACTTTCTTCTTGACACTAATATATAGAGATTGAAATAGGTTATATATAGATTACATTGTACTGAATGTCAGGTTGTTGTTTTGCTCAAGAGTATTTTCTAACCACAGGTAAGGTTATAGCTATAGGTCCAAACGAACATCTCTGCAATGCTGGGATTGGTTTGGGATTGTTTGTTGGAACTATGATTTAACTATGTTAGTAATGATGAAAGCTGGGTAATAATGCTTTGCGGAAACACCAATATTACTTTTTCCACGAATAATTTCCCCCCTTCCACCAGTGCTTTAATGCTTCATGCACTATATTTGTTTGAAGGTTTTAACGTCTTGGATGTTTGATGGTTTTTACAGACAGATATCTTTGAAATGTCACTTTATTTATTGACATGTATTCATTTAGCTGATGCTTTCATCCAAAGAGACTTGGTTTATAGAGCACTTCATTTCCTAGAATGCATATGCATTACCCATTGAACTTCACAAGTTTCAAGTTGAATCTCAATTCCTACAAGGTGTGTCCGTTTCTATTCCATTTCATACTCATTAATTAAAGGGAGCCAATTCTGAACCCAGTAACGCTTTACCCTCTTGTACGCTTGCGGACACTCACCGAACCGGAACATGTCGTCCCAGCAGCGGCAGAAGGTTTCCCAGGGTTTGGGAAGGAGCCGGTGGAGCCACTGAGGCATAGCCATCGTGAGGAGAGTCATGACGAACATGCTGTTGATGGACTGGATGAAGCGCTCCGTCTCCACTGGAACCACTGGGTCGAGGCAGCCGATCCTGGACTCAAACAGCACCGAGGAAATGCCTTCAGGGAAGAGCAGAGAGACAATGCAAGTCATACACCGAACTCTGGTGTGTCTGATAAACCGGTAACCGGCTCTTCAGGAGTGTCAGTGTTTCACCTTCGAGACCAAAGCGGTAGAACTCGGCCGAGACGTCGGACACGAGGCCGCTAGCGTTCTCCCGCTGGCGTAGCTTGAGCTTCTCCACGAGGTCCGTGACGACAGAGTTCAGCGTGAGGTCGTACGCCTCCACAGATTGGGGTCGTAACATGTGTTTCCCCAGCAGACGCCGCACGCTCTGCCACTCCTCGCCTTCACTGAACACACACACACACACACACCGAGGGATCAATGACCACAACCAAAGGATGATGCTTCAAACACACTCTGTCAGTTCAGATCTAGACTAACAACACATCTCTTTGGCCTAGCACACACATAACACACTATAGACTTCCTACACTCAAATTAGGCTGCATTGATTAGATCAGCCGGAAGCGGGAACACGTCCCGTAAATCCTGATGTACTTGGTACATCATAAGGAGGATGGCGTCTACGCTAACATTAGTCTCTCTGTTTATCCCGAGGGATCCTCTGTGGTGGACCTGCGCCTGGACCCATCCCGACTCATCCTCCAGTGCCGACCTCATCGACACTGATCCTCAACATCTCGTCTCCAAACCGGCGTGATTACTTTGACTTCCAAACAGATGGAAATGGACAATTTTCTTAATGTTTCGATCCACTTTGTTTTGTAATCACTGTTCTTGCTTGGCCCCGAATGAGCCTGGGTTCTCCCGAGGTTTTTTTCTCCATTCAGTTCCTGATGGAGTTTTGGTTCCTTGCCACTGTTGCCTTGCTTTCGGCTTGCTTAGTTGGGGACATTTAATATTCAACAATATTATTGATCTGTGTTGTATTATTTTCATGTTATCATTGTGAAGCTGCTTTGATACAATATGTATTGTGAAAAGCACTATATAAACAAAGGTGACTTGACTCGACAAACCCAATCTACTAGGAGAATGGCTGCAATATTCAACCTACTAAGAGATCAGACGATTCTTTGAACACACTAATATTAATAAGGAGCAGTGTTGGATCTGCAGCAAAAGGCAAGCAGGAGTCGGTGGCAGATGCTGAGATCTGGTCTCGTGACTGTTGTGATGTGACCGTGTCCATTCATTCAACTCATCTCTTCTTCAGCATGACTCCTGATTAACAGTAAACCGCTTCTGTCTGTCTGCTCAGACTCCCTCAGGGCGTTTCATCTAATTCACTTACATTAATTATGGACTTCCTTTATGATGACGTTTGTCTGTTTTGGAGTTTGCCAGTTACCGTATGAATCCCCTCGTGTAGACTGTGAGATACAGCACATTTTGCACCAGAGTACTCCAGCAAACAAGGTTTTTAAAGCGGCGGTGGTTCAGGAAGAGCTGCCTGCGACGGACAGGCGAGTGAAGCGCTGGGAAAGCATGTTTGCGGAGCGCTTGTACTCACGCTGTCAGGAGTCCGAACCCTTCTCCCCGGAGCCGCCGGTAATCCTTCCAGGACGAGAGATCGGATCGCATAGGCTGATGGCCCTCCTGACGCAGAACCTGCTCGATCAGATCCGGTTCTGCCACATGAACCGTCAGGATGGGTCCGAAACGGGCCTTCCACACCGGCCCGTACTTACGCCTGCCCTCCAGCTGCACACAGCCACACATCACACACATCATTCATGAGCTGACTGTTTCAGTAATGCACACATGATTGGGCTAGGGTTTAAAAAAACAACAACAAACAAAAACAAGTTAGGGTTAGGGTTCTTGGGATACACGGAAATGTTAACGGAAAAAAAGTAAAAAATTATGAATTAAATATTTTTAAATAAATGTAAATAAATTAAAATTGGATTAAAATAATAAAAATTAGATTAATATAAACAATGCAAATGTGCTTTAGAAATGATGAAAACTTTGATTTAAATAAATAAGTACACAATGGTAATTTCATTTAAACAAATACATTTAAAAGTGCATTACTGGAGAGCGGAGAAAACTCATGCGTGTTCACAGGTATTAATATTTCTCGATAAGTATTTTAAATTGGAATGACATTAAATTGGAAGGTCTTTATACATGCAAACATTTAGCTGCATTTAAATTTTTAGGATGAATAATATGCACTACATGTAGTCACTGCAGGACTGCTGCTATTTTAACAGAACGGTTCATAATTTAGGGACTGCAGACGAACATAAGGCAGGGTCCTTAAAATAAAATTAACACAATAACCATAAGTATCAATAATTGTAAACAACTCAAATAGGAATCGAATAAGATCCTACTAGATCAAATATCAGTCCGCGCACCTGCATCTGGTGGAGGCGAGTGAGTCCGCGTCTGAACAACAGATCCCACAGGAATCCCGCGGAAGAAGGTCCGGGCATGTGCTCGAGTGTCTTCACCTGCTGAGACGGGGGCGCGCGCATGACGTCAGCCCACCTGAGCAGAGGGAGCGCGCTCCTGCCGGTAAGCTTCAGAGTCTGAGGCAGCATCTTCTCCAGTGCGCGCGGATCATCACCTTGCACGCGCTCACGGTGCTCTGCTTATATCGTACGAGCGCCCGCCTTCCGCGCACACCTTTCCGGGGCTCAGCCAATGGCGTTCAGGGAGCGCGAAAGCCCCGCCCACTGATCAGGGAAATGGACGTGGTCTGACTGATGTTTCATAATGTGATACACGGAAATTTCTCTCACAGCTCTTCAAAGATTAGCACCTAAACTCTTGACTCTTCTGAAATCAGTCAATACATTGATGCGTCATGATGCAACCGGAGGACGGGTTATCAAGAAACCTGCACAGACATGACTGTGTGTCTATTCTCAGATCATTTATCCGACTGGAGCAACTGACCCATGAGCAAACAACGTTACAAATAAGAAATAAAAACAGCTTTAAAAATAAAGCGAGATTATGATTTATTGCTTCCAGCAGATTAATTTCTCCCACATTCATACATGAAGGTTATGATGAGATCCTGACCTGTTTCCAGTGATGTGGCAGATGTCCATGTGTGCGGAATGAGCTAATATCAACAGTACTGAGAACCGGTGCGAGTCTCTTCTGAACCGCAATCCTTTTTCATAGAAAGGCTGGATAGAGAAGCATGTTTGGTGGAATCAAACTCAAAAATATATACAAATATATATATAAGAGTTTTGCTGACCACATTAACAGCCTCGATTACTCTAGATAATCAGTAAATGTCAGTCAAGTCAGCTGTATTGGTTTACAAATGCACATATGCTAAATTTTATCTACAGCATGTAATACAACAAGACAACAAGTCATGTGTTCATTGAAGAAACTAACCCAATTGGATAATAATTAGAGTTTAGGCAGTGATCAGTGAAGCCAATATAAGATGGCCGTCTGTGTTGCTTTAGTGTTTGAGTTGTGTCCTACAGGACTGATGCTCGTGTGTGTGTGTGTGTCTGTATGTAGTTTAGATGTAAAGCTGGACACGGAGCAGGAGCTGATATGACTTTTAAACTGCGTTCCATTCGACAGGGTCCCTACACAAGTGTTCACTGCTCCCTACTCCCTGAACACGGTATATCAGTTGAAGTGGACTGCACTGACTTCCTGTGAAGTGATGTATAAATGTTCCCTTATTCCCTATGCCGTTTGCAGTGCCCTTCTGAACATGTTTCTTCCCTTCGAATTGGAATCTCACTTAAGATGGCAAAATACCCCGCGAAGTCCACTTCCCAGTCCACTTACGGTCGAATGCAACGCACCTCTAGTTTCCCAGGGTGGGAACAGGGACAATCAGTGCAATGATGTCAGCAGAATGATACTCATCAGTGCAGAAATCCCGAGGATTGGTTTAGATTCCGGCAGAACTGACGGATGTTTGAGTCTCGCGCTTCTCACGTGGTTCTCTGGGTTTCGGCCGTTTGAATTGTAATTGAATGCAAAAGGAGGAATGAAAGCACTGACAGATCCAAACAACATTCTCTCTTCCCTTCCTTCCATTCACCATCGTGACATAAACTGAATTACGGCTTCAGGAACATCAGTGGAAGCAGCGGACCGACTGAAGGCCTTCTGTATTAAGAGAGCCAAGATGCAATGAAGACCGGACTGATGTCACTCTCCACATCGATATGAGCGTTGTGTTTGACTGCACTGCTACGAACACCATGAGGGACTAGAGGCAGAGCCGGATTAAATAAACGGATTACACTAAGCAGACTGCATTTTTTGGGCCCTCCTCTATCTATGAATTGAAATCTGAAACTTACAAAAGTTACTAATAAAAGTAACTTTTACATAGCCTAGTCTTTGGTTACAAATTGGTTGTTTGTATGCCAAAATAAGTCATGTGTTGTATATTAAACAGTCTATCAGACTATTTTTTTATATTCCTTATTTATACGTCATTACACGGCTATATTGAATGCTATTAAATTAGCCTCATCTAATAAGGATTGTCTTTGTTAAGGCAGTAGAACCAATAAATAACCAATAAGTGTCAGTAAAATGGAAGCTTTAGCGTTAAGTTCTGCCAGGAAGACTCAATGGTTGCGTCACTAATTACCTTCTCATCTATCCAATCGCGTCTAATACTTGCGGTATAAAAGACCGGTACTTACACATGTTTGAGTTCGCAGATGCTGACGTTTTCATTGACCTCCATCCTCCCCACGACCTCCAAGATGGTTCCTTCCTTTCCATCCTCTCCACCACCACCAGGACGGTCCCTTCTTCACCTCCCATGGGGACCGTCGGCTGCGCCCCTGCCTTCGTCTTCAGGCAGGAAAAGCAGAGTCCGGACCCTCGGATTGCGAGCTATGGACGGGGCCTACGCCAAAGAACTTAATTGTTTGCTGGGCTATCGATAAATGTCTTTATTGTTACAGTATTTATTCTCCCGAGTCTTTCTGGGAGAACTATGTAAACCTGTTTACATTTAATCAACATATTTAATTAAGATTTTCTGCTTAATGCAATAGCAATTTCTATAAATGTTGTAATTAAGAGCAAGAAGGCAAACATGACCCCTTCACATTCATCAAGACAATTTAGAAACTGTCTAGCAATAAATAATAATGATTATAAGGATGGAGGATTTAAACTGTAAAACTAAAGGTATTCAGACTATTAAAGACTTGTATATGGATGGAATACTTCTTACGTTCAAGAATTGTGTGATAAAACCAGATTCCTTCAAAACATTTTTTCAAACATTCACAGCTTAAAAGTTTTATGTCTTCCAGGTCTACAGATATTATGTACATTCCCAAACTGTCTCTAATAGAGGAAATCATTGGAAAAAGAGGTGAAAAGGGCCTTAAATTATAAAAGTATAAATGGTTGACAAAGGTTTATATAACACCTGAAAAACTCAATCATATGTCTAGCAATATTCCTGATATATGTACAAAATGCCCTAATTTTAAAGGGTTAGGGTTAGGGTTAGGGGTCGGTGCTTGGCCCCATTCTCTTCATCATTTATATCCTGCCAATCGGACATGTCATCAACCGCCATGGAGTATCTTTTCACTGCTACGCCGACGACACACAACTGTACATGAAACCCGATCCACAACCAACTGCAGCATCGCCAACATCATCTCCATCCCCAGCACTCACTGCCTGTCTCGAGGAGATAAAGGGGTGGATGAAACAGAATTTTCTCCAAATAAACTGTTCCAAAACTGAAGCAATTCTCATAGGCACCTCGCACCAAATTCAGTCATCCTCACTCTCCGGAATAACTAATTCTGGCCAAGACATCCCGCTTTCCACAACAGTTACCAATCTCGGTGTGAAGTCCATATCAAAAATCTCTGTAAGATCTCCTTTCATCATCTCAGAAACATTGCAAAACTCCGCTCTACACTTACATTAGCTGATGCTGAGAAACTGGTCCACGCCTTCGTCTCCTCTAGACTGGATTACTGCAACGCTCTTCTCATCGGGATCCCCAACAAAAGTCTGCAAAAGCTGCAGTACGTTCAGAACAGCGCTGCTAGGATCCTGATGAGAGTTCGAAAGCATGAACACATCACTCCCATCCTCCGCACTCTTCACTGGCTTCCCGTTTCTGCTCGGATCGAATACAAGGTTTCACTTCTTACTCACCAATGCATCTATGGAAACGCACCCCCCTATCTGAAAGAACTACTTACCCCTGTTTCTACAGCACGATCCCTCCGAACACAAAACTCAAACCGCCTCAAAATTCCAAAAACTAAAATCTGCACAATGGGTGATCGTGCCTTTTGCTCTGCTGCTCCCCGGATTTGGAATGCCCTTCCGGACTATTTGAGGGCACGACAGCCCATCGACACTTTTAAAAAGGGTCTAAAGACATTTCTTTTTAGCAAATCTTATGATTTTTAAATATGTCTAGATTTTGTTTTTATGGTCAGACCTGTAGCACTTTGAGGTTTTTCTTTTAAAATGTAAGGTGCTCTTACAAATAAAATGTATTATTATTATTATTATTATTATTATTACTTGATGACGCGAGCGAAATACCGGAGTGAACATGGCTGTAATCGATTTTGCTTCAGTTTGAAAAAAACCCTGGAATGTTCTCCATAACAGAGCGGATTGCATCCTGTGTCTTTTTTCCCATTTCCGTGGGCGTTTCGGTTTCCGATTTCTCTTACCTACAATGTAAAACTGCGCTTAGCGTCTACGCCACAGCTCTCAGCCCACCCTCTGTTCGTTGATTGGCCGGCTGTTTTCAGACCGGTGGAAAACTGAAAGATAGGCTGCTATCTCAGACTGACTACAGGAGCGAAAAGATGAGAAGAAAAGATGTATGGCTCGTATACAATAGAAGTCGCTCAGACGTTTGCCAAACGCATTCAAACACAGACTGGCTTTTTGCTAGTGAAGATGAACTTGAGAAATCACTGGCATAATTTAAATTCACTTGAATAGTCTTTAAACACTCCAGAGAAACCTCACGTGAAGCTTTCAGATGTGTTCAGCAGAATCAGGACCATCAGCCAAAGGACGAGCTCATGGACACATGAAACAGAGATGTGTTTAATACAATAAACATTTAATATACAGAAAATGAGTTCATGTTAATTCAGATTTAGAAAGTATTGTACATGCTGGATTTAGAATCAGTTGCTGTAAAAGATCTTCTCTTCCGCCACTTCAGAGCCTCACATCCTGGGATCTTCCACTCGGCGGAAAACTGCTAAAAAGTTTTTGCCTCCATTTCTCTGAACCTTCTTTCCCTCTTCGGTGCACGTGCCCAGGTGACCGATGATGATGTCATCAGCCTGTGACGCAATCAGTCCAAACATCAAGTCACAGAAGAGGCTCTAACCATCATTTATGTTTTGGAAAAACTTTCAAGGTCGTGCTAAACCCCGGTTGTCCAGGTCGTGCTAAACCCTGGGTGTCAAGGTCGCGCTAAACCCTGGTTGTCAAGGTCGCGCTAAACCCCGGGTATCAAGGTCGCGCTAAACCCTGGTTGTCAAGGTCGTGCTAAACCCCGGGTGTCAAGGTCGCGCTAAACCCTGGGTGTCAAGGTCGTGCTAAACCCCGGGTGTCAAGGTTGCGCTAAACCCGGTTGTCAAGGTCGTGCTAAACCCTGGGTGTCAAGGTCGTGCTAAACCCTGGGTGTCAAGGTCGCGCTAAACCCTGGTTGTCAAGGTCGCGCTAAACCCCGGGTATCAAGGTCGCGCTAAACCCTGGTTGTCAAGGTCGTGCTAAACCCCGGGTGTCAAGGTCGCGCTAAACCCTGGGTGTCAAGGTCGTGCTAAACCCCGGGTGTCAAGGTTGCGCTAAACCCCGGGTGTCAAGGTCGCGCTAAACCCTGGGTGTCAAGGTCGTGCTAAACCCCGGGTGTCCAGGTCGTGCTAAACCCTGGGTGTCAAGGTCGTGCTAAACCCTGGGTGTCAAGGTCGCACTAAACCCTGGTTGTCAAGGTCGCGCTAAACCCCGGGTATCAAGGTCGCGCTAAACCCCAGGTGTCAAGGTCGCACTAAACCCCGGGTGTCAAGGTCGCGTTAAACCCCGGGTGTCAAGGTCGCGCTAAACCCCGGTTGTCAAGGTCGCGCTAAACCCTGGGTGTCAAGGTCGTGCTAAACCCCGGGTGTCTAGGTCGCGCTAAACCCCGGGTGTCTAGGTCGCGCTAAACCCCGGGTGTCTAGGTCGCGCTAAACCCCGGTTGTCAAGGTCGCGCTAAACCCCGGGTGTCAAGGTCGCGCTAAACCCTGGGTGTCAAGGTCGCGCTAAACCCCGGGTGTCTAGGTCGCGCTAAACCCCGGGTGTCTAGGTCGCGCTAAACCCCGGGTGTCTAGGTCGCGCTAAACCCCGGTTGTCAAGGTCGCGCTAAACCCCGGGTGTCAAGGTCGCGCTAAACCCTGGGTGTCAAGGTCGTGCTAAACCCCGGGTGTCAAGGTTGCGCTAAACCCCGGT